TCTGCACACTGTTTGAAGAGGATGCTGGAGACACTCTAGGGGTCTGGACACTGTTTGAGGTTGATGCTGGCGACACTGGAGTGGGCTGGACATTGGTGCGCACAGTTGCTCTAGGCACTTGAGGGACCTGCATCCTGCTGGATGCTGTTGCTGGGGGCAACTGACGAGCCCGGAAACTGCTGGACACTGTTGTTAGAGGTACCTCAGGGCGCCGGACACTGCTGAACACTGTTGCTACAGGTACCTGAGAAGCCTGGATAACATGGGAAGGTGTTAGAAGCACCTGAAACCTTGCTGGAAGCTGTTTCTGGAGAAATCTGGCAGATGATGGAAGATTGTTTTAGTGGCCCCAGATGTGTACAAAATGATATTCAGTGTTTCTGAAGGCAGCTACCCTGTTACATGATTATGTAACAACTCTGGTTAAAGAAAACTATTGCATATAGCCTGTTTAGGACATACATTATTTCCTAATGGTATGCCTTGTCAAGAGCAAAAGATTCATACTACACTAGCTCTTGATATATGCATTTCATAGCATGAGTGCTTAAACTGAACGGTGAGATTGTATCCTTTTCAGATTTTGTGGTTTTCCATTTTTATCAAAGACTGATGCTTGAGCTTTTCTCTCGGTAACAGTTGTTTTTCTCTTTTTCTTTTTGTGCTAGAGACCAAATCCCTAGCCGTGTGCATGCTAAACTGTGTCTTCTTATTGGGCTTTATCCCCAGTCCTTAGGTATGGTTTTTAATATTAGATAAAAACAATGTTTTCATATCAAGAGAATCCACTTATTATTACTGCATTCTAATAATTTTTATGCCCTTAGGAATGCTGTCCAATGAAGAGATGGCCAGAGGTCAGAGGTGAGCATAGGGTCACCCCATGAAGCATTAGAAACATTTCATTTGCTTCATTCTGTTCATCTGTGTGGTGAAAGAAGATCAGGACTAGATTTAGAAAGTCCAGGTTTGGTTCTTTAACAGACTTCAGAAAGCTATGTTCTTAAACTGACTGCATTTTTTAAAGGATTTATTTATTTTTATTTTATCCGTATGAGTGCCTTGCCTGCATATATGAATGTGTACCATGTGTATGACTGGTACACACGGAAGCCAGAAGAGGGTTTTGGATCCCTAGAACTGGATCTACAGATGACTGAGTTTCAGTGTGGGCGATAGGAACCAAAGCCAGATCCTCAACAAGAACAGCAAGTGCCATCTCTCCAGTACCAGACTATTTTAATAAATGTCAAAAAAAGAGCAATGAGTAGAATTGTTTTATATTCACTCTCCAGTACCAGACTGCTATTTTAATAAATGTCAAAAAAAGAGCAATGAGTAGAATTGTTTTATATTCCTCTATTTATTATTAGTGGTGGGGTGGGTATGCCATGGCTCACATGTGGAGGTCAGAGAATATCCAGTGGAAGTTAGTTCTCTCCTTCCACCATATGGGTTCTGGGAATCAAACTCAGGTCATCAGGCTTGGCAGTAAGCACCTTTACCTGCTGAGCCATCTCCGTGGTTTTATATTCTATCATAGGGAATAAATGGCCCAAATTAAAGAACACAGTAGTCCTGAAACATGAGTGACCAGTAACTATGAACTGGGTCACTTGGAACCTCATTTCCACTAGGTCCTGGATAAAGAACTAAATTTCACAGAAATGTAAAGAGGGAAAGAACCATAGATTTTCCACTGGGAGCTTAGCCACTGTACCTGTGTGGAAGGTGCATTCCTGGTTACTTTTTGTTTCAAATCTTCATTTATGGTGGGCGTAGGCCGGGAAGTACTGGGTTCATCCTCCCTGCGTCTTTTCACTGTAGTATCACTGCTTTGTCTTCCTCTCTTTTTAACTGATACAGGAAAAACAAGAACAATGCACCCAGGGGAGCTGGTGCAAGAAGCTGGAGTCCATTTAGCCTGGTTTCCTCTCAGCTCACCCCGCCCACCAAGTGCCTCCCTGTGCTTGTCTTCCTCTCCTGCAGAAGCCCCACCCAGCCACAAGGAGGCCCATAGCACCAAGTCAGGCACAGGCACTGCCTGAGGGGATCCCTTACTTGTGGACACGGCCTTCTCTTCCTGAGGTCTCCTACCCACTTTAGTCAAGACCCATCCCAACCCTCAAATCGATTTTTTGAATAATAAGGTTTAGGGCTGGAGAGATGTCTCAGGGGGTAAGGCGCTTTCTAGGAAAGCATGGAAACCTGAACTCAGATATCTGGAAACCATGTAAAAGTGCCCAGGTATAACTCCAGCCCTGAGGAGGCAAAGGTAGTCAGACTTCTGGGGCCCACTGGCTTGCCTGAGAGTGAGATGATGCCCTCTTCTGGTCTCTGTGGGCTTTACTTGTCATGGGTACACTTACACACAAGCAGGCAAAACATTGTCTGCATGTATGTAAGTACACTGGTGCCATGCAATGCTCACGGAGTCACGGTCTCTGTGGGCTTTACTTGTCATGGGTATACTTACACACAAGCAGGCAAAACAATTGTCTGCATGTATGTAAGTACACTGGTGCCATGCAATGCTCACGGAGTCAGAAGAGGGTGTCAGATTCTCCTGGAACTGGAGTTACCAACAGTTGTTAGCCACCATGTGGGTGCTGGGAATTGAACCCTGGTCCTCTGCAAGAGCAGCGGGTGCTCTTAACCACTGAGCCATCTCTCCAGCCCCTTGACTTCTTAGTTTATTAGACAGAGAGAACTTCACTACACAGAACAAGGTAGTCTTAAACTGGAGATCTCCCTGCCCCAGCCTCCTGAGTATTAGGCTCAAAGGTGTGAGTTACTGTGTCCAACTTCTTCATAGCTTCTTAAACTTAGTAACTTTATAACAGGAAATCCCTTCACATCTCTGAGATGTAGGCTCTTAAATAGTGTCTTCATTTGTTGCCAGAATAGATATTACTGATTGTGTACCTTAATTGAATATTAATGATAATTGAGTTATGTATTTTAAATGAAAAGGAAATTATTCCTAATTTTACTTTATCATTTTCTCATCTTTGCATAGCAGTGGAAGCTGTCTTCTCTTTCAACAACTTCTACTTTTTTTCAACTTGAAACTCCTAAAGACATCCACCTCCAAATAACTTAGAATTCTTTGTAAGAACAAAGTTCTCTAAGTTGTCAACTTGTTGGCATCTGAATTACTTCCATTATACAGCTACTGAGCCACACACTGGGAAAGGGATGAATCTACTGTGATCACTGCAGGGTGCTAGCCAAGGTGGGGTAGAGAGGGTGGGAGTGGAGGGTGAACCCAATTACCTTTTGCCTTCTCTTTTTTAAGTGTTTCAGCAAGGTCACCAACTGTTGGAATATCTTTGCACACTTCTATCAGTTTGTCCACTCCAGCATCATTTGGGAACTTGTCTTCTATTAAGTCGGCAATCTTAATCCTGTCATAATCTTCTTGCATTTTTTTCGTTAGTTTTAGTTCCTTGCCTAATACGGACTTAATTGTCCTAAAATCATAGTCACTGACACATTCCAATCCCTTCAGGAGAATAATTTTCTTGTACTCATTCGCCATTTCTCAACTTATGGCTAAGCCTAAGAGAAAAGTGACATATAAAATTACACAGACACATAATTTCAATAACTGTGACTGTGTGAGTAAATGAACCATGTCTAAGTATTGCCTGTAAGTGTGTATACATGAGAGGGAGACTTCATTACCAGATAGGTCAGTGTGCAAAATGGATGCGGAATTGCTCTATTAATAAACAAAATCTAAGAAATTCTTCCCTGCTGATGATAGCAACTAGGTTAGATCAATGGCAGTTTGTGGTGGAAAAAATTGGAAACTGGCCAACATTGCGTTGTTTACAGTGTGGGCTGTGAGTGTTGAAAACCTCTAGTCTTCCTCCCACTCTTTATTGGTGTTGGAGCTTGTTGCTGGATGTCTGCCTGTGGTTCATAACCCTTCCCACACTGGTTGCGGCTACCTAGTCTGTAAACAGGTTGTATCCACCTTATACATGAATGATGGTCAGGTTTAGTACTATGACCATGCTTGGGCACTGACTCTTGTCTACTTGGCTCTTACTTCAACTACACAGCTCCACTGTTATCACTTTGCTGAACATCTATACCGTTGTAGTGTAGGATTCCGGCATTTAGCATTTATTGGGTAGAATTCCTTGAACATTATATGTTTTCTCCTTTTAAGCTTAAATTGGTTTTCTTTCTTCATAGAGACAGTTTTCTATCTACAAGTCATATTTAAATTCTCTTTAATTCTTTAAAAGTTTCTTCATTTATTGAAACTAATGCTTGCTTCTTAAAATTCTTTGAAGGCCTTGGATAATCTGTGTCTTCTACGTATTTTCTTTCATATCCCTGACATCGTCGGCTGCAGTGTGCCGTACCCCTGCTTCTTGATGCAGTGAATTCGTTTTCACTGTCATTCCCACATTTCTCTCTCTGTCTGTCTCCCATGATCACTTTTAAGAGAAAAACCCGAGATTTGATCTTCTGGAAACACTTGAAGTTCCTGAAAGGTTTCCTACATTTGATGTCATTAGCACTTTGTGTACTCCCTTGAAAACTAACAGAGAATGGGTGGATTACAAACCTGCTTAAATTTATGTCATTTTAGTTAGGCATTAGGTCTTGTGTACATTTTGTATAATTTGAATGGTACATTTTCTGGGTTTTTTTGTTGCTTCCTTAATTGAGAACAATGAACATCCCCTGGTTGAAAAGGTCATGAGGGTAAAGAGGAAGTCTGTATAAACAGACAAAACACTGAATGTGAAAAATGAAGAAAATGAGTCTTCAAACCTTCAGACGGGAAGACTGGCTCCTCTTCAAAGATTCAAGGAGCAATAATTCTAGAACAGCATTAAAAAAAATTTTTGCTTATTTTTATTTTATATGTACACGTGTATTATCTGCGTGTAGGTAAGGGCACCCGTGTCGTGCAATGACCGCGGAGGTCAGAAAAAGCGGGACTGAAGTTACGGACAGTTGTTAGCTGCCACGTGGGTGCTGGGATTCAAACCCAAGTCTTCTGCAAGAACAACCAGTGTTCTTAACCGCTGAACCATCTCTCCGGCCCCTCTAGGACAGCATTTTTAACCTCAGTAAAAGTGACACTTAAATAGGAAAGCCTCAAAAAATATTCTCTGATATTTGGGAGTTGGTAATTTCAAAATCCAGAACAGAAACACGTATTGGAAGAAACTGTGAGAAAACAGTAGGGAAAGTTGAGAAAAGTTCAGAGCAAGCTTTTGACTATAGTGTGTGTCAGGAAGGAGCACCAGCAAGTGGGGACTTTGAGCATGACAAGTCTCCTGAAGGTCTTAGGTATCAGGACCCTAGATCTATAAGTTGTAAATCTTGGGAATAACTAGGGTACTTGGATCATTAGTTCCTTAAGTATTGTAATTGTTGAAGGCTCAAGAAGTGACAATTCTTTAGTGTGGCACTGAAGCATCAGGTTGATCCTAGGTATTGGGATTCCTCAGTTCTTAATAGTGGCAAGTATAAAAGTTTCTAGGCCTGGAGTGTCTGACACCATGGTTCTAAAGGCTTGACCACACTCCAGAATTATTCGCGTGATCAAGGGTTGACATTAATGGCGGTCAGTGACAGTACTGTGGCTCAGGCTGGGGCACTCACACCTGTCCACTTGGATCATCCATAAACAGCTCTCACTAGCATCCTGTGTCTCCTGGTGTTGGACCTGGGTCTCTGGATCCTCAGTAATTCCACCACTGTCACTTTGGTGAACATCTACATACTTTCTGGTGTAGGATCACAGCATCTATTGGGTGGAATTATGTCAATGATTGCTTGATTTTTACCTTTTTGGCTTCATTTTGTCAGTTGGTTTTATTTGTCCACAGACATTTTTGGCTGCCTACCAATCATATTTAAATTCTCTTTAAAAGTTCCCAAATTTATTAAAAACCAATTCTTACTCCTTAAAATTCTTGGAAGGCCCTGGAAAATCTGCATTTTTTACTCATTATCTTTTATATTCCTGACATCCTGCACTGCAGAGTGTATAGCACTCCTTCCCTAGTCCTGACATCCTATGCTGCAGTGTATAGCGTTCCTTCCCTAGTCCCGCTTCTTGACGGAGCTGATTTGTTTCCATTGCCTGTCTCACATTTCTTACCTTGGTCACTTCCCATGATCTCTTTTAAGAAACAGCTAAGAGGTGGTCCTCTGGAAACTTCTGAAGTTCCTGAAAGGACTAAGTTTCATGTATTTGACCTCATTAGCACTTTGCGTTCTCCCTTGAAAATTCTTAGAGTATGGATAGATTCCAAATCAGCTTAAATTTATGCATTATTTCAGTTAGGTATTATGTTTTTTGTTCCTTTTGTGTAATTTGAATGGTATAATTTCTGGGGTTTTTAGTTTCTTCCTTATTGAGTGTCCCGTGCTATCGTCTCGCCAGCAAGAACGACGCGGCACACTCAGGATCCTTCTGCAGAAAAGCTTTAATGCATCTTGAGAGGGAGAGCATAAGCTTACAGGGTGAAGACCCCGAATGTCGGAAACCCAGCCCTTATATAGGTTAGTAAGCCCGTCTTGGACGTGGCAACTCTTGATTGGTCGCAAACTCATCAGCCCATATCACACCACGAGGTAGGCATAGACTAGAAGGTGGAAAATTACTTCGGGCATGCGTACTGACTTATTTACTGCTCAGCATGAACCGGATGTGAGCGCCATCTTGTAATGGCGTCTGCAGGGATGGCAGGCGGCTCCCCACAATTGAGAGTGAGCATCCCCTGGATGAAAAGCCCATGAGGATAAAGGGGGAATCTATACAAGGACGCAAGATAGTGAAGGTGAAGAATGAAGATAACGAGTCTATAAACTTTCAGACATGAAAACTGGATCCTCTGCAAAGACTCAAGGAGCAATTTGAAACTGATTCTCACTGTAAATCTGCCTTCAACAAAACAGTAGAATGATACTAACGTAATATTGATCCAAAATGCTATAAACCAAAGAGGCTTAAAACTATGAAGTTTCATTTGTTTTATGCCTTGTGATATCACAACTATTTCCAGAGCATTGCCCCATTTGATACGACAGGAGCCTATGCATATTTTTCGCATCCCATTTACACATGTGAATAGTCATGTTTTGTTGTTGAAATATTATTTTTGACTTTGGGGTAGTGATGTCAGTCTCAAGGACGTTTTCGGTGATGTAGTATTTAGTATAGATGTGGCCACCAAATTCTGGATATCAAAATATATTCTACACCACAGGTACAAAGAGGTGACTTCAATTCAACTTACTATGATTAAAAAATAGTAATTTTAGAATGGTATTTTAGCCTCAGTAAAATGAAATTTACACAAAAAAAGTCTCAAAAAATTTCTCTGATACAAGTCTTGATAATTTCAAAAGTCAGATCACAGAAACAGGCATTGGAAGTAATTGCAAGAAAACAGTAAGTAAAAAGTTAAGGAAAGTTCAGAGCAAAAGCTAAGCAAAGTGAAAAACCAATTTAATTAGGGAAGCCTATGTTCTAAAAGTTATAACAGGATCAAAGAGATGAGAAACAGGAAGTGTACCAACATGGTGGAGGAGAGAGGAAGAGAAAGTAACGGTTCACTAAGACACTTGTCTTAAAGGGTAAGTAAGATCTAAATAAGAAGAAAAGGCAAGGGGGAGAACATAGGAGTCTCATAAACAAAGTTAGGTTAGTGGAAGCAAGACAAAATATGCTAATTATGAACTTGTACATGAAGGACAGAGCCAGTCAAGGGACAATTTTTGCCAAATTTTATTTGAGACTTGTGCCTATATGTAACATTCATTCATTTCATTAAAGGCGGAAAAATTAAATCACTTTTCACTGTAACTGAAGAACAGCCAATTTATCTTTAGTGTTGCCTTAAATAGAATTTAAGATAAAAACCTTATCAGATACTAAAAAATGATAATATGTTACCTCCCAGGAATAAATATGTCTGAATATGGATTTATGTAATAATAGTGCACATCAAAATTTTTGTGGTAGATTTAGGAGACTATCTCTCAATTACTAAATGTACAAGGTCAAAATTCTGCAAAGGCTTAGGAAGTTTGAGGAACATAATTGATAAACTTAGGAAACGTGATCAGCCATACATACAGTTCTGAAATTAATACTTAAAATCCAGTATATAAATATATATGTACTGTTCCACAGTACAAAGTCTTCAGAAGTAGGCTATGTAAATCTTTGCTAATTATCTCTCCATCTTTCTTCTATGCCTTAATACCAGAAACCAAAGACAAACAAAAATGAACACAAAAAGAAAAATGAGAACAGCAAAAGTAACAAAATAAGCAAAGCAATTAACTTTTCAGGGTGACATAGACTAACAAGGACTAAAATGCTGACTTAGAAGTAAACAGAAGATAGCATTACATGAGCTTAAGAAATCATTAAACAATGTATATTTGAATAACTGCAAATCTGAGAAAATTCAACTATACATGTTCACTGGTTCTCCTGCTCTATCAGTTGTGTTAACACAGCTCAAAATCCAGATGTATTTTTCACTTAATATTACATCG